CGTCCCGCGGGCCCGGCTGGGCCTCCCACTGCCGTGCCCGCCTGTCCCGCCGGCTGGTTTTGTGTGCTTCGCTGGAGAGCCGTGTCTGCCCATGGGACACGTGAAGGGGTGCTCTGGAGGCAGTGCTTCCACGGCATCGCCTCCTTGTAAGGCGAGGGGGTCTCCGAAATGCAGGTTTCCCTGGGCCTGCCTCTCCCTGCTCGCCCTGTATTGGTGCCAAACCAGTTAGTTTCATCTTATTTCTGAGTAAGGCAAGTGCTTTCTTAGCGTCCCTGTAACGTCTGAGAGCACGTTCACCAGGTGAATCAGCCCTTACTGCGCTTCCGAATGTTTCTGTCACTCCATGTCTGGGTTGGTAACACATCCACGACTAAAATGCAACCCGGGACACAAGTTTTCAGATAATACCCTCAGCTCTCCCACTTGGATGACTTTGTCCTTGGTCTCAGAGAAAATAGTAAATGGTTGCTTTGGGTGCTGTTGCTATTACCACCATAATGTTCTGGTGTTTTTTTTAAGCTAAAGGTAGTCACTCCTTTTATGCCACAAAATACCAGGACTGTGGCAAGGCTGCAAATTTTATTATTATTTTTAATGCACCAGAAGGAGTGAGGAATTGAGATTTTGATTTAAGTGGGATTTTTTTGAATTATCAAATCTTGATTATATAAAATATCTTCCAAATGTCTGGTTTTGCTTCAAAATAGTGAACACCTTAAAGTGTTTGTGACTGAAATCAATGACAATTGATCAAGTTCCAGTCAAGAACAGAGAGATGAGCAGGTTGGTAACTACGGTTTTCTTCACTGAAGAGAGAGGGGGTTATCGACAACCTTTTGAGTAGCATCTGCTACTTTCATACAACCCAGCACTATGTTTACCTATTGATATGTCATTTCGTCAGTGCTTTCTACTGAACTGTAAAAGTGTCAGTTTTGGAGTAGCAGTCATATTTATCTTTTAAGCAAGTGGTGTATAAAGGTTTACTAATCCAGTCACTTCACCGGCATCTGACAATTGAGGACTTTACAGTTCTGCTGATTTCCCTTTTGTTTTGAATGTAGAATGCTAAATGTATTGGCATACATATTTATGAATTTGCTGTTGAACGATTGAATAGATGTTGGTTTAGCCTGCTTCATTTGGCAGTGTATCCAAGGATATGAATGCTGGGATACATGTGCTGAAGTAGTGTGAACTACTGATTGCTACATGATGGAAGAGCTTCTAGAGAAATTGGTAAAATCCTGGCTGAGTTTTGAAGCCCATGACTAAAATGGAGTTGAGACTGTGCCCAGTCTTTCTTAACTGTGTAACAGATTCACCCTCTTCATGTGTCAATGCTGTGCACCTTGTTAGTCCTGCTCTGTTGCAGTAAGGAGGCAATTTCACTTATTTCTGTCCTGTCAGTTGTCTTGTCCTCTGTTGTGGATTACAGAGATATGTGGGACAGTTCTACATGGAGCACCAGCACGGGAAGGGGATTTGCTACTGGCCTGATGGATCCAAATTCACAGGAGCTCTTTATCTTGGCCATGTAGAAGGCTATGGGACCCTGGAATGGAAGGATGGCAGAAAATTTCAGGTAACTGGAAAAATGCTGTGCTAATACTGCGATTTCCTTGCCTTTCAAAATCAGCTTAAGTACAGGAAAATTTGAGTGTGAGTTTTTTTCAAGCAGCTTCCTTAGTGTTTTGGTTCTTTAGAGCAAAATCATCATGCTTTGATCTCCAGTGAGTTAGGGCACTCTTTTCAACACCTTAGCTTCTGCTGTATTTAACTTTTGCATGGGGAAACATTGAAGGATATAATCATAGAATCATAGAATCATTTAGATTGGAAAAGACCCTTAAGATCATCGAGTCCATTCATTAGCCTATCACTACCAAGTCCACCACTAAACCATGCCCCTAAGCACCACATCTACACGTCTTTTAAATACCATCTCCAGGGATGGTGACTCAACTACTTCCCTGGGCAGCTTGTTCCAGTACTTGACAACCCTTTTGATGAAGAAATTTTTCCTAATATCCAGTCTAAACCTCCCCTGGCGCAACTTGAGGCTGTTTCCTCTCATCCTATCACTTGTTACTTGGGAAAAGAGACCGACATCCACCTCGCTACAACCTCCTTTCAGGAAGTTGTAGAGAGCGATAAGGCCTCCCCTCAGTCTGCCCTTCTTTGGATGCGCTCCAGCACCTCGACGTCCTTCTTACAGTGAGGGGCCCAAAACTGAACACAGTGTTCGAGGTGCGGCCTCACCAGTGCCAAGGACAGGGGCACGATCACTTCCCTACTCCTGCTGGCCACACTATTTCTGATACAGGCCAGGATGCCGTTGGCCTTCTTGGCCGCCTGGGCACACTGCTGGGTCATGTTCAGCCGGCTGTCAACCAGCACCCCCAGGTCCATTGATCCAGCCTGTCCAGGTCCCTCTGCAGAGCCTTCCTACCCTCGAGCAGATCAACACTCCCGCCCAACTTGGTGTCATCTGCAAACTTACTGAGGGTGCACTCGATCCCCTCGTCCAGATCATTGATAAAGATATTAAACAGAACTGGCCCCAATACTGAGCCCTGGGGAACACTACTTGTGACCAGCCACCAACTGGATCGAACTCCGTTCACCACAAGTCTTTGGGCCCAGCCATCCTGAGAGTTTTTCACCCAGCAAAGAGTATGCCCGTCCAAGCCATGAGCAGCCAGTTTCTCCAAGAGAATGCTGAGGGAAACGGTGTCAAAGACTTTACTGAAGTCCAGGTAAACAACATCCACAGCCTTTCCCACATCCACCAAGCAGGTCACCTTGTCATAGATGAGGTTAGTCAAGCAGGATCTGCCTTTCATAAACCCATGCTAACTGGGCCTGATCACCTGGTTGTCCTGTACGTGCCGTGTGATGGCACTCAAGATGATCTCCATAACCTTCCCTGGCACCAAGGTCAGACTGACAGGCCTGTAGTTCCCCGGATCCTCATTCTGGCCGTGTCATGTGATACCATCTGTCCAGAACTAAAAATCTGATGCCTGGAAAGTTTCTTATTCTAGTATCTAACGTATAAGATTTCAGTATTTATTCTCCTTCTTTGATGAAGAGCTTATTAGTTAGACAGTACTCTCAAAAGTCGTATTAGGATGCCAGCAATATGAAACTGGAAAAATACTGCATTTTAAGAAACTGTGGAGATAGACAGCAATCTGAAGTGTCCAGGTAGCTAGTTGTCTGTTTTGCATCATTTTCAGATCTAATGTTTCTAGTAGAAGCTAGAAATCTTGTTTTCTAACAGCTTGCAGACCTTCTTTGTTTTCTTACAAGTTATATCTGAAAAGTCCCAAGCGTAGGGGAACACCACCCACCTGTTCCTACTGATCCCTGGGTATCTCTGCAATTCATCAAATAATCTAAAACATATAGGGAAACAACAGTCTCTGCATTGAGGAGATGATCAACAAGCACATAGCATTCTTGCTGAATATTGATAATGTTGCACTAATTATGGATTTAGGAGAGCTTTAATTTGAGTATATAATGTATAATCTAGAGCTAGGGGAAAAATAGAGAAGCTTCAGATCATAACCATACTCAGAATTTTATTCTTGCCAGTGGTAGCGCTTTTCTCCTGCTCCTTTATCTTTGTAGCTAAACAGCTCAATGTGAAGTTGCTAATTTTTGCTCTAAATAGCTGTTTTGAGGTTGTGATAGCTTAGTGTGAACCTGTCTTGAACCATATGTGTGATCCAGATATGCATGAGTCTGCTTAAATTTGGTAATGCTCATGCCTTACCTACCATAGTGTCATGGCCAAACTAGGATACCCTTATAGGAAGACTAAAACTCCTGTCCTATAGTGCTTTATTTGCTACTGAGACTCTTCTGTTGGCATGTCTTGTCATGCTTGCGAGGCTATAGATATCCTAAATTTAGTTACCATTGTAAGAAAAGAAATAACTGTCATTTCCAGATTCTGTGTCTGTGCAGATGTGTGTCAGATGTGTTTATTTTGATTAGGTAGGAAAATCTAACCAAAAATCTGTCCTGTCCTGAAAGGTAGCAGCACGGCTGATGAATCTAAAATTGGTCACAGAATAAAATTAAAATTAAAAAATCTTGCTCAGGCCCTAAAACCGTCAGGAAGTTTCATCTAAACATTACATCCCACTGTAGTTAAGTTTAGGGCCTTCCACTGTTCTTGTGCTGGAAGATTTGTGTTTGCTATTAAATGGACCAAAATGAATGTGCAGGCTTTGCTGTTCAGATTGGCTTCAGCAGTTACTGCTCTGTCAATAGGAAGCGGACCAGTAGGGCCAGAACCAGCCACGTTAGTTTAAGTAGAAAACAGACTTTAATTGTACAACTTGTTTGATCTCTGACTGGTACTAATGAGTTTACTTGTTTCTTAAGGGGCTGTACAAATCTGATGAGCGATTTGGACCAGGGATTGAGAGCTATCCAGATGGCTGTCAGGACGTTGGCTTGTGGCTCAGGGATCATCTAATTAAGCTATGTACTGAAGTACCTGGTTATTTTTCACTCTTGGATTATCCAGCACACTACAGATACATTGATGACAATTCTCAAAAGAAGTATATTTCAGTTGAGGAAGACCCGTTTCTCCGTAGCTATAAACATCTCCCTTTTGATGATAAGGATATTTTCCCTGAAGGAGTCCTTGCATATTCTCGTAGCACAGATCATCTTACTTTGACTCATTCCTTTCTAGAAGAGTGTGATGCTTGGTATTTTCAGAACACCCCAAAGCTGCCTGAGAAAGACCCTTGGCCTATTGCAAATGTAACCCCTCTACTAGTTAGAATGCAGACGCATGTTTATAAGCACAGGTAACTGTTGATGATTTGTTTATTATGTATGGATTTTTAGAAATTATTATCCATGGGTGTTCATTATTTTCAAATTCACATTGCAGGATAAAAGCTGCATTCCAGATTGTTTTTTATGGCCTTGAGATTACAAGGCGCCAATGAGGATTTTTTTAAAAAAAGGAACAAACAACATATTCATCTCTCAATTCACAAATTTTATTCCTTTAAGTTAAACATCAGTTTTATTCCGGTTACACCTATAAAAATAGTCTCAACTCATTAGCATGTCAGAGTTTCTGGAAGTCTGGTTTTGAAAGGAATTAGGAGGCAAGGGCTGTAGAGACCTGTTCTGACCTTCCCTGTTCTGAGAGTGTAGCATCTTGTGTAGAGGTGGAAAGATGGAGAAGCATAGTGCCAGATTTTTGAAAGCACTGAAAATCTGGCCAATGATAACCTTTTTGTGTTTGTCTTGACTCTTGTTCTCCTTCAAGGTTATACAAAACATGCTGCAGCAAGTCTACAGCTAGTAGAACTGCCAACTGCATGTCAGTTTTTATGTAGCTCGGTATTTGTACGTGGAGATGCTCTTTGGGCCCACAGAGTATTTCCTTACTTGCTTTTTTGATAGGAACACAAGCTACATAGCATATTTTGTAGTCATAGTTAAAGCAGATGATGGAAATTAAATCATAAACAGGTGTCATGAGTGTGCATGATAAATTGGTTCATAGAAACACGTGGTAGTCAGATTTTGTTTTCTTATTTTAGTAGATGTTTGGTGACTGGATATTTTTTAACTCCTCTGTAGCTAAAATCTATGTGCTGCTGCCAGCACCCCGTACACTGGTTTGCCTTTCTGCCATTAATGTAAGCAAGCTTACACTATCTGAAATAGTTCTTAAAATGATAGCTGGCCTTATTTTCCCATCTTGCTCACCAACAGACTTTATTCTTGATGTGTTTTTTCTTTAATTGCCGTAGTGGTCTAAGAGTACCTAGCTGCTTAAATGTGCCGTACTGTTTTCTCCTTTTCAAGGCGCTGTCAAGCGGAGTTTACTTCAGATGTCAACCTCATTCTCAGTGGAGCCCGCAGTACTTACGGGCCTCCAGGCCCCAGGGAACTTGCCTCAGAGCAGCTAATTCAGAAGGCAGCAAGAGGAGACTATGATGGGGTCTGTGCGATTCTGAGGAATGGGCTTGCTCATCCAGACATAGCTGACAAACATGGATACACAGCACTTGCTGCTGCTGCTGTAAGACTCTAAGCATGACTCTTTACCACATGATGAGAAAATTCCTGGTATAGTAGGCTGGATTAAATTTTTCTCTTGTTTCATTACATAGTATGAAAGGAATGTTCAGTAAACAGGAAAAACAGAAAAGCGGTGTGGCATGAGTAGTGTCTGTAATGACTGGTATCATGCCAAACCCCACGGTAAATAAATAACCTAAAAGAAGCCCTTCAGTAAATATTAGAGATGATTTCAAATGTCAGGTTTGATTTCAGGTTATGATTGTGGAGTGGACTAGATCTATGTTCTTGGATGTGACCGTGCCCTTACTATTTTTTTTCCTAGTTGAAATCAGATTCAGACAGAGTTGTTTTGTTTTTGCTGAAAAGTGGTGGTGGCTAGAAACCATGCACACACAACTTCAATTTCTGTAGGAGGGGGATGAAATCCTGCCCCCCCCCCCCCCCCTTTTTCTTCATGCCCTTTTCAGCTACCTCAATACTTGGCATTCATTGTAAATGGCTAGCAAAATCTAGAAAATAGTTTAGAATGCTGTATTTCTCCTGTAGCCATCTCAGTCACTTTTAGTCTCTTTCTGTGCATGAATCCTCACTGAGTTCCTGTGAAATCCAGTAGTTAAAAATCAGCTGAAAAATGCATGTTCTGAACCCTGTAAGACATGGTTCAGTATTGTGTTTCTATTTTGTGGGAAATATAAATTTGAATTAGCTAAACAGTGTAGAGCATCACTACTTTAAAACTGTCTTGTTAGTTCGTTCCATGTCAAAATCTAGAAGTGTGTACATGTATGTGCAAGTATGGATGTTTCCCCCCTACAGGTTCATTCCCACAATGATGTTGTCAATCTTCTTCTTGATAGTGGAGCTGATGTGAATAAGTGTAGTGATGAAGGATTATCTGCTCTCTCCATGTGCTTTATTCTCTTTTATCCAGAAGAATCTTTTAAGGGCAATATTGCTGAGAGGAGCTTGCACAGTTACAAGGTTTGTTTACTTCTAATCTAAAATGACAGAATCATAATGTATTATTTCCTCAAGCTGTAAGCTTGCTTTTTAAATTTACTGTGTATACTCCCTAGGACAAAGTCAGAACTTTTATGCATTTTGCTCTCTGAGGATGCAGAATAATCTCTATTCTCACTGCTAACTCCTAACTCAAAGGACCAAGCTCCAGTGCAGTTACAAGCTTACTCTGCAATTGAAATAAGGTGCTGTATCAATAGCAGAGATGTGAGGCTGTGTTGGCTAGGTGTTTAACACAATGAAGATGCAGTGGGGCAGTTGTTGGGAATTGCAAAAGCATAAGCAGAACAAGAGGATGTAGGTGATTCTCCTGGTACTACATAATCCTGCTGGCATCATGGAGGTGGCTAGTAAAAAGCAATTGTACTGTCAGAAGTCTGCTGATCCTTGGGGAGTGCTCACAAAGGAAGAGTCATACCCCTGGCCTTCCTCCTGCCACAAAAAGAAACACCTGCTCTGGTGTAGGAACACGATACACATTTTGTAAGAGTGCAAACCTGGGAATGGGAAAGAAAATGAAAGCAAGGGGGTCAGGAATCACCAGCCAGGATGAGAAAACAGATAAAAATGGGGTCTGGGCAGGAACTGTGTGGTCTTTGAAATGTTTCAGTGGAGTCTAGAAATGGAAGGGTGCTGCTGAGACTTTCACATGAGGCTAGACAGGCAGTGGCCCATGCCTTGAGGAAACTTGTTGAAAATTAAGAACCAAATAATCCTCGGTTGCTCTGAAGTCGCTGTTCCAGTTCCAAGAGTATGTTCAAGTGGTAGCCCATTGCTAAAGTTGCAAGACTTATGGGAAAGGGAGAAGGGGAGTGAGAGAGAGCAGCTGCTCAAAACTGCACAGAAAATCAATGTGGAGCTGTTATCTCTCATTCTGGAGGTAATACGAGGTGATTAGGAATAGAGAGGGGATCTTTCTGTGTTGGTTTGTATCTCTCACAGGCTCTGAGATTCTGCAAGGTAAATGTACATTGCTTTCACTTTTCCTCTGAGTTGAATATGCATCCAGATTTGGAAACATCAGCCTTGTAGATCCTAGTTCAGATTCTCATGCAAGCTAATGCAAGTTGAAAATCTGTGTCTTGTTTTATTTCAGCAATTTTTTTTCTTTTAAGCTAGGTGATGTATACTGGAAGAAACTTTTAACTCTTCTAAACAAGTTTTAGACACCATGGAAGTTGAACAAGAAAAATATTCCCTTATTTTAAGAGGGTTTTTAGAAAAAAAACCAAACAACCGAACTTAGTTACAAATTACTTCTAAATGATTTTCCTAAGAGTTATTAACAAAATTCCTTTATCATTATATGCTGTACTGTGTCACTGTTCTGATGTGTTAATATGCTGAGTCATGCATTGGAAGAAGAATTTTTTTTCATTTTGTAACCTCTTTCTTTTTTTAAATCTTTAAGTGGAGTGAACAATCAGAATCCTCAGAAACAGTCAATGTGGCTGAAGGCATAATCTCAGAGTAAGTCTCATGCACTATAGATGGGAGACCAACTCTCATAAATGCTTTTGTATAAAGAAGGTAACAGTATTTCACATATTTCACAGAAGTGTGCATCCATTGCAGGGCAAGATTTTTTTTTTTTTGTTTAAGTGGGCAAATCTTGTTTTCATGCCAGTAGAAGCCACTCGTTTCTACACTCTAACTCATGTCAGCAGTGGGCAAAGATTGCAGCTGAAAAGTGTAGTTCAAGCAAAGGACATCATACTTGAGCAAGACAAGATTTCTTGTTAGCGGAGTGTGAAAAGCTGCTAAGTATTCAATGGACACTTGCAGTGGAGTGTGAAATCCTGGAAGGAGAATATATTTGCTTTATTTCTTGAAGTCTTGACTACATATGAACTTGTTAGTTGTTTTCTGCAAGTGTCTGTTCAGCAGTGTCAACTGAAACGTAGTCCAACTATTTTGCCTTTGTGGATCTTTGAAAGGGCCACATTTTACTTTTTGCTTTGCTTACAGAGCAGTCACCAAAGATGATGAAATTTTTGTGTTGGGTTTTATGGCAGTGTAGGTTTTAATATCTTAAAACTCCCAAACTGAAAATTCCTGGTTGGCCTTTTGGCCTTCATCCCTTACATTTTACTGTTGTGGCACATCCTCCCACCTCCCACGATTCTTGTTGTCTGAAATATTGTGCATATTGCATGTTGTTCGTTGGAATATAAAGATTCATTGAATGTAGGGCTTGTGGGTAAAGCTGAGTTAATAGCATGCCTGAAAAGATGAGTCTCTGCTGAGAACACTTCGTGATGGAGTTTCTGGGTGATTTCCAAGTGCTGTTTGCCCTTTTTTTTCCTCTTTTTTTTTTTTCTGGTGGTGTCAAGATTTTTTCTGGGGGGGGTTGTAGATAGTTTGCCTCCATGGAAATGCAGATGGCATCTGGAATACACTGTCCTAGTCTAGCATAGCTCCTGTTCCAGCTTTTGTTTAAGGGAAGCACTGTACCTTTGCTTTCTTGGGATGGGTGAATGACGTATGATTGAGGAAAGAATCTTCCAGGGAGTCTTCGACAGCAGGAAGGAGGAGTCTGTTTCTTTCATTAAACAAGTCTAAGACTAAATGTTTGCAAGTCACATGTGAGTGACTGGTGGAAATGCAGGGAACCTTTCCTAGCTTTGCCTGTCTCCACGCAAGGACTTTTCATGACCACAGGGACTGCTTTTGCATACCACTCCTTTAGTTTGGAGGGCTGAGATACACTGGCAGTGCTGTCCCCTCTTCAGATCTTAATGTTGTTGCCTGGGTGGTGTAGGGCAGTTGTGATGCGGCCCTAAAGACTGCCATGTCTTCCCTCTGCTAAGTGACCGTTTTCATGTCTATTACCTGGGAGTCATTTTAGTCCACTAGCTTTTAGAATTTTCTTGGAAGGTGCTAATAAATTATTCCGATATTTTCCATGTCAATTCTAGACGACAGAAGAGGTGGGAAACAATCCAACTGCTGCTTCGTCGAGGTGCAGATCCCAATGCATCCTGGGTCCCACCACACCTTCTGTTCTTTGCTGTTAAAGCTGCAGATGCAGAGGCAGTGAAACTCCTCTTAGAAAGGGGAGCCAGGACTGATGTGCAGCTTCCATCCAAGGTTTTACTGGTTTATAATTCATAATGTGGGATTCTAGATGTGTACTGCAGCCTCAGTGCCCTACTGTAAAATATCGTGCATGTCAGAATCAGCTTTAGAATGGCCAGAAAGCTGTTTAAAGCGATTATCCCGTTCAAAGATTTTTTTTTTAATAGAAAGAACTCAAAGCTCTTTACTCTCTAAGTATTTTTTTTCCTCATTATGTTTCCTGGTTGCCAAGCTTGTGAGTGGCTGGGGAATACTTGTGAAGCTGCTCCTCAAGTTGGTAATAGCTGTTGTGGTATTTAGTAGGCTTAGTGTTTGGGACCTTTAGTGTTCCCCAGTCCTATAACTCTAGGCTCTAGGTTTATGGTGGCTGTTTGTGAGACACAGCATGTGGGAAGAGTGAGCTTGTATTATTCTTTGAAAAAATATTTAGTGCTCTTTAAATGCTGCTTGTGATAAACAGGAGTCTTAATACTATGTTTGTGTTTTCAGTTAGGGGGGTTAACTCCTCTCCACATAGCTGCCTCAATTCCTGGGGAGGAAGGGGTCCAGATAACACAATATCTCCTGCATTCTGCCCCAGATCTGAATGCAAGGGCAGAAGATGGAAATGAGATATACGGTCCAGACAAGGTATGTTGGTTTTTGAGCTCATCTTCTTTCAGCTGTTGAAATTCAGATTGTACAGGACCTAAGCAGGGAGTTGGGATTCCTGCCTGCTTGATTTCACAGTGAAATTTTTGCATTCCACTGAAAGAACCTTTAAAAAAAAAAAGAAAAAGCCACTTGAGGTCTATAGTATTAGGTTGCAGTAAACATATCCTTCTGTTTTTGGTGCCCCAGAACCTTCTTATCTGTAGTATGTCTGGAGATGGCTTCTCAGATTTTTCCATCAGTTTCCCATAGGCCGAGGTGAGGCTGACCAGTTTGTAGTTCCCTGGTTCTTCCTTCCATTTTGCCAGAAATGCAAAGAAATTCCTCAGAAACCTCCCCTGCTCACCATGACCACTCAGAGGTAACCAGAGTGGCCTTGCAATGACATTGGCCAGCTCCCTGGCATACCATCAGGTCCCAATCACTTAAAAAAGGAGTTGGCTTATGTAACTAGACTGACAAAATTTATGTTGTCATGACAATGACTAAGGTGAATGTCTGCAGGACAGGGAGATTTAGATGGCTTTGTCAGTTTGTATTTTAGTACTTTGTCCTTAAGTAGTAAACAGGAGAACTTAATACCTATTTATCAACAATACTTAGTTACAGAATGCCCAGACACAGTGTAGGCAAGATTTACTTTCTCAAATATCACTTTTGGTTTTTATATTGATCTGGTGACCTTATATTCATAGACCTTAAATGAGTGGACATGTGAATGAGCTTGACTCAAGGCAGGCCTTTTGTGCCTGAAAGCTTGCTTTGTCCCTCCCACTCCCTACACTGTATCGTTTGGCCCAGTGGAAGTTAACAACTTCTCTCTCAAATTTGCCTTCCCTAGACTTCTCCAATGGTTTTATTAAACTTCTTAGTGTGCAGTGCGAAAGCAGTCTAGCAGATGAGACCTGAATGTAGAGAAGAAAGTAGGAAAAGGGTGGCTGCTGTTTTTGTGGGGCTGAACAAGTCTTGTCCATGATTGAGATCCAGACGAATGGGTGACCAGGCAGGTTTATTTTCTGTTAACTTGTCTTTAGCGTATGTTGCAAATGTGCGCATCATTTCACTTAGATTCCTCAGCCTCAAGCCAGAGAAGCCAACTTGACAGGTGGTGTCACTTTGCAACTGAAAAATGAAGCAGGACCACCACAAGAGTACTTTTCCTCCTATAGTGGTCCTGTCCCTGAAGAAGGTGGAAGGAGTGCATTGCATATTGCATGCGAAAGAGAGGATAACAGTGAGGTAAGGTCATAGCATCTGAGGCTCTGCTCATAGGGAGTAGTTCTAAGCTAATCTCAAATGACATAACTTGTCAGTGAAGACATTTCACCTCTGTAAGAAGGTGATTGAATACCAGCAATAAACTCCCTTTCTACTGAATTATTAGTGTTGTACTGATTAAAAATCTATTAGCACTTGAAGAAAAAACATTTCTTAAATCTTTGGAGTTCTGTTTGACAAGAGAAACTCCTTTAGTTGAGTTTCCATTGGTTAATTGGCCATTAACTTAATCATCCACAAGGCCAATTTGAAGTTGGACAGTCTTAGTTTTGGCATGCACTAACCTCTGTGCATTTGATTTTGTACTATAGTAACATTCTTCTAGCAGATTTGGGATGCATACAGTTGGAGAAAAGTATTTGAGAGAAGTGACCTTCCTTCTGGTGGCAGGATTAATGAGATTTGATGATCTGGTTGTGAAGAGGCTTCATGTATAACACCACTATGCTTGGGGTTCTCAGTCATGAAAAAGTGGATGTATATTTTTACTATAACATCATAGTTTAGATGAAGGTTTGAATGTGTTTTATGCTGCTCATTTTATTAATTATACTACTATTATTAAATTTAATATTAAAAAGTTAACTTTATTATGACCTAATTTTACCTTTTTTCACCACACTTGCCTACAAAGTGTGCCAGAGATGTTATCTGCCTCCTTTTAATGCATCAGGCAAATCCAAACACATTGTGGAGTGGCCATTCACCACTTTCCTTAGCAATTGCCAGCGGGAATGACTTGGTGAGCATCTTTAAGTTCCTTCATTTTTTTGGGTGTACTTCTCCATTCATGTCTGCCTTCTGTGATGACAGCCAAACTACATAATGAGTGGTGCTTGCAATCATACATTTTCAGTGAAAATAATAAAGTTTTTACTTTTCTTTCAAACCTATGGATATTTTGTGAGCCAAACTAGAGGAATCGTAAAGGACTATAGTATGAGGTAGCCAGAAATATTTGGGTAGGACTCAGAAGGGACTAGCATTTGGAGAACTGTGTTCATTTTGTGAATCACAAGAACATTCAGTCCTCTTACAGGCTGCCTCCCTGCGTGGAGCAACCCAACCAAACACCAGAACACTTGCTTCTGGGTATAAGGCAAAAGGGTAGCCATTGATGGTAGGAAGCATGCTGTTCTATGAAAAGATTAATGATAAGTCTTAGAAAGGATTTGGTTGTGATGAGGCTCAGCGCTCCACAGATGAGGCTTATAGTTCACACAGTAGAATTCAGTGTGTGAAGTTAGCACCTGTCTTCCTGAGCAGGGAATGGACTCCCTTCTGCCCACACTGGGCCCATAACAGCAGGTCCGCAGCAGCCAGCATGGTGCAAGAGAAGGTATGTAGCCAAAGCAGGTGATACACCAGATGTGTACTCTACGTCTCTTTGAATAGAGCTTGGTGTGTCCAGGCTCCTGGCTCATCTTCTTTGTGGGAAGCAAGGCAGGAGAATGATGGGGTGAGAGTGGCACCCTGGCTCCCCACGAAGCTCAGCTGTTGTGCAGCCAGCACACAAAGTAATGGCAAGAACACTTGTAAGGGGGCAAGCGTGACTGACTCTAGCCTAGCAGTTCAGATAAGCTGAAAGGGGCAGGGCTGGAGTGTGATTTCTGCTTCCCTGTTTACTTTTCTCCAATACAAAAGCACACAAATAATCCAGAGAAGCATTCTCTTGGAAACACAGTCATTAGCAAAGCTGAGGGGGGGGGGGGTTGGAATCCTTTTCAGTATTTTTGATGAAATCAACATTCTACCTTTTGTTCTGTCACTACAAAATTTATACTTTACATAGGATAAATGCTAGAACATAATAGAAAATACTGTTTTGTGTTGTTAGTCTTTAACTATATTCCTTTCACTGGAAGGGTATCAAACATCTAGAAAAATAAAACTGGATGCAATATAATATGGAGCTAGAGTGTGGACTGTGGAAGGGGTTATAATAGAAGTGGCTACCACTGCATACAATATCAAATAGATTCTATATCAAGTGTTTGACCCTGAACCTTTTTCCTTACACTGTCTTCATCATTTTTAAGACAGTTTTGGTATTTTTCTGGGCAAAAGTGTTTTATTGCAACACAAAAGTTTAAATTTCATTATTTTGAATGAAATAGAAAGTCCCATATCCAAAAACTTCTGCTGCTTCTCCCATCTTCTCAGAGGCTAACGTCTGATGAAGTAATGATCTAATAGGCTGTAATTGATCAACCTATCTAATCCTTATCTTTGTGGTAAAGCATTTTTTTTTAAGAAATACACTATGAATCCAACCAGGTGGTTTTTAAAGCTACCCTCTCATGCCTTTGATACTGTTGTTTGGTAAAGTACTCCATGATAGCCATTATGATTCACGCTAAAAGAAGTGAAAACTACTGTCCGGTGGACTAAATTTTTGTGTGCTACTGAAGCTATGACAGATACTCCAAGTGTGCTGTGGTAAATACTGTAAAGCTTTAGGGTCTTGACTGATCTCGCTAGGGTCTCACTTTCCTGCTGTAGAACTGTCAATAATGGCTTCTCCGGTCACTAATTTGTCACATTTGCATATGCACATTTGCAGGCAGTGGTTGAACTCCTCAAACATGGGGCTGACCCAAATCTACCATTAAGTGGAGCAGTAAGAAGTGCCCTCTGTGCAGCTGTCAGTACGGCGTATGAACGGCAGAGAACGACAGCACAGAGGATTGCTTTGGTGAGATAACATCTGGGTGTTTGTTTGTTTTTTTTTTTAAACTTCAGAAAAACAGTGGTTTTTGTCAGGTGCATTGAGTCCCCTTTCTCTTTAATGGGTAAGCTGATACTTTTTTTCTGGAACAATTAATTTGTGTCTATTCCTAATACTGTTTGTTTTTGTCCTGAGGAACAGGGGTTTTGTATGGAAATCCACTTTCACGTTTGAGTAAAGAGGATGATAACCTTGTGTAGAAGAGGAAAAACTACATTAAAGTAAAACGGGATGGTTGTAGTGCTCACAGCCCTGTCAAATCTGACTATTACCTTGTTTATAAACACAACCAGCATCCACATGAGGAGAGATGCATTGTGTTTGGTTGTTATTGTAAAGTGGTCAGTACCACTTGTGATGAGTGTACTTTCTCATCTGTGATGAGTGCACTTTCTCTTCTATGATGAGGTCAATGGTAGCATTTGGCCTTGTGAAAATTGGAGTTTTTCTCCTCATCCCAGGGAGCACAGGGCTGATCTCATTCAGAGTGGAGGTGAGGCAGGCTGCAGCTGAGGGGTCTGGGAGCGGAGGCAATTTCCCCAGCTGGGTTCTGTTCTGCCCCCTCCCTCACGAGTTGTCCCTGCTTCATTTGTTGCTGCAAGATTGTGAGATACCCAGAAACAAATAGCAACTGCCTGCAAGAAGGTTTTACTTACAAAACACATTTAGATTTGACAATTCATCATCAGCTCTAAAGTGGCAGAAGAAATGCATGGTTCAGTGCACAAAATAGTCTCACAAATAGAGGTTAGGTTCTGATGATCAGCCCTGTCTCTTTAGCTGTGGTGTGAACGCAATTTTTTGGGAAGGTTTTCTTTTTGGTTGGATGTGTAATGATTTGCTTTCTTCAGGTTGATAAGCTGCTTGAAGCTGGCGCAGATATCCTTGCACCAGTTACTCTTAGGGAAGGACAGAGAAAAGCTGTGGGAACAGCTGTGGACTATGCTTATTATAAATATTATCAGGTATGACTTCAGTTCCCGTATCTGAAAGTACTGTGCATTTGCATCTATTCAAATGCATGGCCTGTTGTGTCCTTATGAATTGTCTAGGGCCTTCTTCAGAAACCTTAATGGAAATTTGTTTTTTCCCTTCATTTGTTGTGAGACTCAGTTCAGCACCAAATGAAATATTAATCACTTAAAGTCTGAATACCTCTAATAGTTTTGCCTATGAAGGCAATTCTTGCTGTTACGTATTATAGTAAGATTCCATCCATAATCGGATTGGAAAGAGTTAATCATAATCTTAAACCCAGGCATTAAAACCAAAAGTAGTATGTATTTCTGTGAGGCTACAATCAAATCAGGAGAATTTTAATGGTAATTTTAGATATATTGTAAGCTATGATAGGACATTATTGATCAAACTTTAAAATAATGGATTTCCTAAATAAAATATATTTTTAAATAAAACATACATCACAGTATGTATTATGTATTATATGTTATATATTGTACATAAAATAACTAATATATATATTTGCTAAATAAATAAATGGATTTACTAAAGTTGTCCTTAATCATTTATAATCCCTTATAAAAAGAATCTTACTGTGAAGTATAACTAATAAATTCCTACCTGATGCTTTTTTTTCTGGATATATTTGTTTAAAAAAACTTTCAAAAGGCCTGGGATTCTGTGACAGTTCTAATTAGAATTAATATAAGACTTTTTTTTTAATAGCTTTCTTATTAACAAGAAAGCTTACATGATAAGCAGATTGCTTACCTCTGGGACATAAACAGTAGTTGTTCTGAAAAGAACAAAAGTAATGGTGCACCTCGTTCACGGAGCAGCCTGCTTAGAGCTAACGAGGGCTTTTGCATCCCATACCAACGTTTTGTGTAGACATTAAATTGTGATTTCTGTGCTTGCAATTGCAGCTGATCCTCAAATAGGAAAATAAATTAAGCAATTTATAGCTGTAATCACAGGTCAAACTTGATCACCATACTCCAGGTACCTTACTTACTTTCCTGCCTTGCTCTGGACTTTTGTCTATACTCTCCTTGCTGGCACTTGTTACAGGGAAGCAGTATGGGGAAATGAGGAACATAATAGTGGACAAGCAGTGCCCTCTAGCTGTTTTTTCATTTCCAGGAAACTTGTTGGTGCTTCTCGAAGTGCTCTGAGAGGAGCTCTGCAAGATGAGGGCAGCTTCCAGGTGCAAGATCGTGCACCTGGGTCGGGGCAACCCCCGGTATCAATACGGGCTGGGGGATGAAGGGATGGAGAGCAGCCGGGCCGAGAAGGACTTGGGGGTACTGGGGGATGAAAAGCTGGACATGAGCCAGCAATGTGCGCTCGCAGCCCAGAAGGCCAATCGTATCCTGGGCTGCATCAAAAGCAGCGTGGCCAGCAGGTTGAGGGGGGTGATTCTATCCCTCTACTCCGTTCTGGTGAGACCCTACCTGGAGCACTGCCTCCAGCTCTGGAGCCCTCAGCACAGGAAGGACACAGACCTGTTGGAGCGGGTCCTGAAGAGGGCCAGGAAAATGATCAGGGGGATGGAACACCTCTGCTGTGAAGAAAGGCTGAGAGAGTTGGGGTTGTTCAGCCTGGAGAAGAGAAGGCTCTGGGGAGACCTTCTTGCAGCCTATCAATACTTAAAGGGGGCTTATAAGAAGGATGGGGGCAGACTTTTTAGTAGGGCCTGTTGTGATAGTATAAGGGGTAATGGTTTTAAACTAGAAGAGGATAGATTCAGACTAGATATAAGGAAGAAATTTTTTACGCTGAGGGCAGTGAAACACTGGCACAGGTTGCCCAGAGAGGTGGTGGATGCCCCATCCCTGGAAACATTCCAGGTCAGGTTGGATGGGGCTCCAAGCAACCTGCTCCAGTTGAAGATGTCCCTGCTCATTGCAGGGGGGGGTTGGACTACTTTAAAGGTCCCTTCCAACCCAAGCTATTCTATAATACTATGATTATCCCTTGAAGAAACATCTGAAAAGTTTTAGTTAACTTGTTGAGCACTCACAGTAATAATATAATACTAATGATAATTGGAACAACTAGAACATCTAACCTGGACATATCCTGTGCCCCATATCACAGACTGAGCTCCAAGCCAGGATCCAGCAGGGGTTGGCTTTAACTCTGAAACACTTGTGTGTTAGTGTTCCTGTACATTAGTAGATTAACTTATGGTATGTTGCAGGATAGGAGAATTGCTCACACACCATACCACACACTGTCAGCATCTGAGCAGGAACTTTTTCAAACACGCCGATCACTGCTGGAACACATTACGGCGAAGCTCCGTGAACATGTCATCCTGAAAGAGAAAGCGTGGGATCAAGAAGAGCTGAGAAGATCCAAGAAATGTTAGTTCAAGCCTAAGAGTGGTTCAAGATTAAGGGTAGCATTACCTAGTGTGAAGGGGAATTTATTGTTCTAATTTCAGTGTTACTATCTGAAAAGGTAACTCCTAAGAAAAACGGCTCCTAAATATTTGGTAAGGAGATGTAGGGGTTCTACAAACATTAAAGAGAATGAACAAGGCATTGTGAAGAAAATCTGAATATGAATTTAGTGCCTGTCAGCTGCTTCCTGGTAAATCCCTGTACAAGATCTATTACCATGCATTAAGGAGTGATTGAGGGAGCTTGCTCCTCTTTCATGGGAGAAACTTGGAATGGCTTCGCATTTAGTGCAGGGAACAGGATGCATGCAATGGTGACTGTGGTCATCTAGTGTATTTTCATTCCTTATGGCAACTTACCCTCAGGTCCTTTCCTAAGACTCCCATTGTATCAATGCTTTTCTGCTATTAGAGTAGCAACAATGAATATAAAAATTAAGATGATTTGAATTACATCTTCAGCAGTGGTCATATGTGTGGTGAAATCGGGCTTAGAATCTAGGTCTCCAAATACCAGTCTTTGGGGCAGAAGAAGTATCATACTTGGGAAGTGATCTCTGAATAGAAGATTGTTACCTTTGCAGTTCAGCATAACCTGTGACTCTGTGGCTTGTCACAAGCAGGAAGTAAGAGTAAATTATCTGTATGGTTTCTTCCTCTTGGCTGTGACATGGCAATTTGGCTCCTTTTTTCTTGGCTCCTGAAGCTTGTTGATGGAAGATGCATTTTATTATGTGTCTTCAGATTTTACCCAGTAGACAGAGCCAAGCAGACTTTTAATGAAGGTGGATCTTGTGACTGGTATTCTAATTCTCAAGTCAGAATACTGATTTTTGTTTTCCCCCATGCCCCCTTTTGTTGGTGTAGTGGATTCAGCTGTTCATACACGTGTTTCAAAGAAGAAAGGAGAGACCCATCACGTGGAAGAAGTGAGGTAGGGCAGAGATACTGCACTCAAGTATTGACTATTCTTAGTCAAAAATACTGTGCCGTTTTTTTTTTTCCTCACCAAAACTGTTGTCACCCTTCCATTTTTCTCCTTTCTAATTTTCCTTTCTATCCAGACTTACCAGCTGCAGTTAGCTTCTTCCTCTGCTCTGATCACATCACTCCTTTGCAGCTTCAGACTTTGCCATGAGAGTCTGCATAATATTCAGTCTTCTTGTGGAAGCAGTGTGTCCTTGTGTTTTAAACCAATTAATGACATCAGTACCTTAGAGCAGCATGCAAATGCTAAGAAATAGGCCCATACAAATTTTGTTGCTTATATTTCTCCAGAAATTGCAGGAACAACTTGTACAATTTGAATGTTATTCTTGGAACGGTGTATTAACAAAAGTTTGGATAATAATGGCAATACTTGCCTCAAGGTTACTGAATTCTGTCATCAGTTTCTCCTACTGCAGGGAATTCACAGGCTTCTGAACTTTGTCTCAGTATTTGAATCAAGAGGAAGTAACATAGGTGTCGGGAGCTGGGGCACTTTTGAAGACAGAAATTTTGAGGTAGCATTTTTGTTGAACCAAGATGGATCAATAATAGCATAAGATGTAGAAATAGCCCAGAAGAATATAAAGTGAACTAAAATAAAATCCGTAAGGTTAAAGTAGCACACAAAGATTTTACAAATAGATCTCAGCGGTGACTCACAGAGACAGATGAAACCTCAGTGAAACTTGCTAGCTATTGGGAAAGGATTCTTAAATGCTTTAAAAAGGGTGTAAATATGTAGCCCAGCTTGCACTTAGATGTAACATTCTGCTTCCCAGTCCCACTGAAAGCCTTAGCCCAAGCACTCTTTGTTTTATGTTCTAACTTCGGAATAACTGTTGTGGTGCAGTGGCCTGTGAGCGTCCCTGTTTGTCTCTGCAGTATTCCAGTGGGTTCTGTGAGGTTTTTTTTAAGTTTGCTAGCTTGGCTTTGTTTTCTCTGGCCATATATAATCTGGTCTGCCTGCCAGTTTGAAAATGGACATCCCCAGACCCAGTGTCATGAGTACACTAAAGCACACAGTGTGCTAGTGTATGGCACGGTGTGGATGTTTATCTGGTAAAGGCTTGGGCATGTTTCTCGCTAGGAAACTTGGCTTTTCTGGGGGCTGTTTCTGGGGGCTGGCTTTGCAGGTGGTATTGCAGCCTGTTCCCCACAGACTCCTGTGATAAGCTACAGTCTCCTGTTTCTTTGTTGTTGAACATTATTGTTAAACATTATTCCTATATTGTAGCCATTTTGATTTAGTTTTACTGTGATCTGCAAACGTGCTGTCAGCTTGAGGAAAACTCTAAACAAACAATAATGTGCTTTCATTTTATAACTACCTTTGTTCTAGACTACCGTTCTTTAAATACTGCTATCAGTGTGGACGTTCAGTTGGTGTTCAGCTATCACCTTGCATGCGTTGTCATGAAGTCTTCACTTGCAGTGAGACTTGCAGAAGGAAATCCTGGAATGAGCGGCATAGGCAGGAGTGCTTGGGATTGCTGGGTAAGTCTGACTGTCATTACTATATGAGAACAGTGGTTTGTGCGTGTGTACTGACCTGGGTATGTCTTCCTTGTAATGGACCAGTAAAGTGTGTTTTATGAAAGAATTTAAAAAGGTTCAGTTCATTCACTTGAATAGCTGTGTTTTTTGTAAATCTGCCGGCTTTAAGAGAGCTGCTACTGTTGTCATTACTCTCAGTTTCAAAAGAGAAGAATCTTTAAAGTGAGTGCAGAGCAAAGGACATAATACTCTCTCTAAGACTAAGGTTAGCTACTGCGGACATCAATAGACAACTTTCCAGGCTGAAGGACCCCAATAGATCTAATAAGCTAGGCAGAGTGGAGCTTTCTGTACAAACTCTACCTCTTAATCACCTCTATCTGTATATTAGAAGAGAAATCAATAAGATTTCTGACTTTTATGCATGGAAATGTTGATGCCACACTACTGTGGTTCTTGGAAACCACACTTGTGCTAGTAAAAATGAGGCCACGTTACACACACCACATGCTACGTAGCAGTAGAAGACTAGCACGGTAGAAATTATACTATTTTAATTATATCAGATGCTCACATGGATTGAATGAGATATCTGTCAAATGTGAAGATGGATACAGAACTGCTGCATTCACGGAAGTTCTGTGATTGATGTGTCTTTTAGTGGCTGCCTGGGATGGGACTTTTAAATCTGGGTACATGTAAAACCCTGTGTGTTGGGGACAGTGGGGTCTGTCCCACTGGAGATAAGTTATATCAAACATACATGCTTACCAGTATGGGCTCTGAATAGAATCAAACTATTATAGGATAGGATAGGATAGAATAGACAAGACATCAAACTACAAGGACAAATGGTGGGTAATATGGCAGCTGTACACTGGAGGACTTAAACATGAAAAAAATTACATTCATTTAGAAAACAGAATTTTACTACCTTGTCTTTAAAAATGTAATGTGTTAGGGATACAGCTGGGTGATGCTAGGATGTTAACTAGTAATTATGTAAGTTACTGCTTCTTTTTGTAGTAATCCCTTTCCTGTATGGCAAATGCCAAATTTCATTCAATTCAGATTCAGTGAATTCAATTCAGAACAAGTGTGAATGTCTTCCTGTAGACAGAATTTTTCTCAGCAATAAACAAACTTCTTTTTAAGTAGTGTCTTCCTTTCTAGTTAATATTGAGGTAGAAAGGTTTTTGTTTGTTCCTTTGTTTTGTTTCTTTTTTCTCTCCCATGGTTGTTTTTAATTTAAAATGACCTGAAATTCCCTAACTCAGACCAGTTTGAGCAATTCAATCTGTTGCTCTGGGAGCCTCTGATGCCCTCTGCTCTGTTTCCTGATTCCTGTGCTTTTCACTGTAGGGCAACATGATTAGCATTTATTTTGTACCTTATGAGCAAAACTCTCAATGTTTAACTGAGTCCTGGAATAACTAATAGTATTAACTGCAGAATTAATACATTCTCAGATATATTTACTAGAAGAAACAAGTATCACTTACACTCCCATATATAGTCATTATTTGCTAGGAAGTTTATAGGTAAGTGAGTAGGTAGCCACAGCTACCTGAGAGTTGTGTCTGTTAACATCACATTTGATAAACTATGCCAAAATAGGAACTTCCTCAAGTCTTGTACCTGCTTCCAGTTTATTGTTCCAGAGAAACTGAAGGTCACCCAAAGAAATATGGGTTGGTTTTCTTTTTCCCCTTTTTTCCCCCCCCCCCAGAGAAGAGTACAGGTCAAGCAGCTCCGGATGCAAGCAGTGCTGGATGCAAAAAGAATGTCACTGGCGAAAAGGGGGGAAATGGAAGAGAAGGAAAAGATGAAAGGAGAGATGGAAGAAAGAGTAAAGTTGGGACTGGTAGAAGAGAGCATCACAGGAAGAATGACTGACTTGTTTCAAGTCACTCCTACTATTGTGTGGACAACTTTTAATACCATTGCACTTTCTGCCTTGTACTCCACTGCTACTAAGGTTAAAAGTGATCTAATTTGACATGCTTTGAGAAACTAAACCCAAAACATCTTTCTAAGATACCGCATATGAGCCCAACGACGATAACGCCATCAAAAACCAATCTGTGGGGATATATACAAGTTATGTATTTAAATAAATGTTTGCAATTAGAAATATAGTGAACTTCAGATTGGTTTTAATGGTCTAATGCTATATATATATATTTTAAAAAACAGTATTGCCCATTATTAAACTTCATTACAAATATTCCCTCCTGTGGGGAACAGAGGGCCCATTTGGCAAGTGGACTTGATCTACAGGGATGCTTCTTACTTCATGGGGGGTTTAGATCTGGGATCCTGGGGACAGGTTGCTGAGGACTGTTCAGCCCTTAGACTATTACCCCTTGATCTTAGCCCACATGGGCACTGACAATCCTGCCAGGAGAGTCTCTGAGCGTATCAAGAGTGACTGCATGGCTCTTGGAGGTGAGGGTTAAGGTCACAGGGCCCCGGATGGTTTTTTCCTTGATCCTACTGCTGAAATGGAAGGGCTTAAGGAGGAGTGGATGGATCTTGAGGTTCAGCACCTTGTTGTGCAGCTGTGTCACTGACAGTGGTTTGACTTAAAAACCACCTGTGGTTTGTCCCCCTCTTTGGGGGACAAGCACTGGTAGGGAGGGGTAGAATCCACCTGACAAAGTAGGGTGAAAAAACGTCTTTGCTAACAGGCTGGCCAACCTGAGGAGACTAACAATAAGAAAGGAGGGAGATGATGACCCACGTTCAAGTAAGGAAGTGGTGGACTGGTCTGGCAAGCAAAGGTGCAGAGTGATGTTGTTAAGAATCCTCAAAATCTACAGAACAGTGCAGAATGGGGCCTACCCACAAATAAGGAAGTGCTGAGAGGACATAATGGGAGAAGCTCTCATCTTTTCTTGGGAAACCAGCATGACTGTTGCACCTTTCTGGAGTGCCTGTACACTAATACGCTCAGTATGAGGAGCAAACAGAAGGAATTAGAAGTTTGCATGCCTTTAAAGGGCTACAGTCTCATTGAAGTCACAGAGATGTGGTGGGAAAGCTCACATGACAGGAGTGCTCCAATGGATGGATACAAATTCTTTAGGAAGGACAGGCTGGGAAGGTGATGAATAGGCATTGCGCTTTATGTGAGAGCAGCTGGAATCCATGGAGCTCTGCCTTGGGGTGAACAATGAGCCGGTTGAGAGCTTATGGCTCAGGATTAGCAGGCAGACCAACATGGGTGATGTCAGGGCGGCGTATCTGTACAGCCTGCCTGGTCAGGCAGAAGTAGATGAGGTCTTCCTCAAACAGATGGAAGAAACCTCATGCTCATAGGCCCTAGTCCTCATGGGGGACTTTAATGACCCTGGTATCTTACAGAGGGACAATACAGCAGCGCACAAACAATCCAGGACATTTCAGTCCAGTACACTCATGACAGTTTCCTAGCACAGGTGACTGAGGAGCCAATCAAGGGAAGTGCTCTGCTCAACCTGATGCTTATAAAGAAGGAAAAACTGGTTAACTGGTTTGGTGACATCCATCTGGATGGTTGAGCTGACTGACTGGTCCAACTCCAAGCACCTTGGGTGGGTGATTATGAATGAAAACAGCAGAAATCTTACCCTTGCCTCTTTCTGTTACAGATGCCAGTGATACTCCATCATCTTTCAAATGGAGAAAATTTGTAGATGAGTGTAAATCATTAATGTACCTACTGATGTAGCCTCTCTATGTTAGTGGTGTGTTTGTGTTCCCTAATACCCCATGGTGGGAGTTTGAGGCACCTTCAGTTCCTTTGTTTAGCTCCCCAAGTCACAGGGAAAGAAGGCTGGCTGCAGGTGGCTGCAATGAGGCATTGAGGCAAGAGTGGAGGCTCCACAGGTGGCTGTCCGGAGAAGGGAACCTGTAAGGCTGTGGAAAGCAATGGCCACACTTCGCCATATGATGCTGTGAGAAGACTGTCATGTTATGGATTAAGTAGCCATCTCCAGAGTCAGACGAGCTGGACTATTTGAGGCCAGAGCCTTTCCAAGTCTGGAGCATCTTTATGAAGCTGGACTTTAGCTTCCAGGTGTGCCTGTATTGAGAAGCCATGTGGCTTTCCAGAGAACTCCACAGGAAAGCAAGCAGCAGTGTCCATCTGTGCTGCCTTTAGATCCCATGAGAAACTGATGTGCCTTCTAGCTCCTCTCCTAGGGCACAGAATGGGCTGCAGGGAGGGACCCTTTCAATCCCTGCATTGGGGGCCGAGGGACCCCGTCTAGGATGGGGTGACACAGGGTGACACAGGATCCACCCAAGCAACTCAGCAGTGGTCAGAAACCTGCTTTGAACTCAGCTCCTGAGGAAGGCACGAGGAGAAGAAACTTCTCCCCCAGTCTCCAGAGTCCTTCCTGCACCACTGCAGTCCCCAGTCACCACTTCTCCCGTCGCCAGGGCAAAGGAACAGCAAAGAGACGGATCTTCCTTGAACCGCAAAGACCATGGCTGCAGCAGAAGAGATATGGCATGATGCTGGGAGACAGGTGTCCTCAGAGCAGGGACTGTAACACAGTCCCTATCTCCAAGGTGTCCTCCAAAGCTTACACGCTGCTCAGTGCAGATTTCACACCCTGCCAAGGAAAGATGCACAATAATTTATATTATTTTACTATACTATTATGCATACAGCAGATAGAGCCAGGAAAGCACACAGCGTGACAAACTCAGGGGAAGAAAGAACCATTCTTCAGGTGATATTTCAATTTCCAAGTACATATTTTTAGGCTATTTTAAATCGTGACATTATGACCAGATCTAAATCCCTCAAGGAATACCCTAGGAATCATCGTATCATAGAGTGGTTTGGATTGGAAGGGACCTTAAAGATCATCTAGTTCCAGCCCCCCCTGCCATGGTCAGGGACACCTTCCACTAGACCAGGTTGCTCAAAGCCCCATCTGTGGCGGTGTGCTTAACAAAGTGGAAAAGTGAAACAAAGGCGAAATAAACATATCTATATATGTGTGTGT